GTGTCTGGCAGCACTAGCCCTTCCAATGTCCATGTCCATGAAGGACACGTACTCAAATACCAACTCCTTCAAGAACTTCAAATCCTCTTCTGAAGAAGCAGCAGGACGATCAGATGGAGCAGGGCGAGGCATTTGGACCTGCCCCCAGGAAGCGAACAAATCCTGGATAGAACGCACAATCCTATCAGCGTCCTGCAAAGAAGATTGCCAACATTAAAAATACTCACTACAACGAACAAGTTGGAAATAGGAATGGAGCAAAAAGAAAAACTACCTCGTCGACGATCGTAGAAGATGGCGCGCCCTCAGCCAAGCTGGCCACCAACGACTCATCCATTCCTGAGGACTTCCCCTTGTCCGAGCGAGAAGATGTTGCCACAACGGGCGGACTCATAGGAGTATCTGCAAAATTCAAGAGCAACAAGTCAGAAATCAATAGCACGAACAAAGGTAAGACATCAAAAACTGAATTACCTTCTGCTTCGATGATTGGGGGGTCGACGCCCTGGGAAGAAGATGGCTCATTCATGGGTTGTGATGAAGAATCTGGGACTGAAGATGTATCTTTAAGCATGGTCCCATCATCAACCGGTTTGGATGAAGTAGCCTCAGCAGAGGATGATGGAGCAGGAGATGGTAATGCCAAAGCCTTTGAAGGGGAGGCTGAGCTTTTCTGAAAAGTCCAAAAGATCATCAGTACACAGAAAAATTTCAAATGTGGAAGAGCATACTTGTAAATAGACCAATTTAATTACCTTCCTTTTAACGATAAGAGGGGCATCATCATCATCATCATCATCAACATCATTCTCCAGAATGGGAGATGCTGAGGTTGGCCGTTTGCGGCTTGGAGCACTCTTGGCCATAGTTGGCCTGGCGGGGAGAGAAGAAGATGGACGAGCAGATTGTTTAGTACGACGAGAAGGAGAGGGGTTCCGAATAGACAAAGGAGAGACCAAAACAGGAGGAGGAGAAGAAATACTTGGTTGGTCTAATGAATGAAAGGCACGATTGGCCTCAGTCGCAAATAATCTGCGCTTCACCGATGGCCAAAGTTGTTCGAAAAGAGGGTGAGTAGCATGACAAGAATTAAAAGGGGCTAATGAAAAATGGCTTGATAAATGGAGGTTGCGAGCGTTTATAGCCTCTGCTTCCACCTTATTAATGGTATGAAAACGATCATTTAAGTTCTTCGAATAGCAAAGAGGAACATGCCAAGTTTGGCCAAAACCAAGCTGCCGAGCAAAAAATTGGGGAGCATAAATTTCTACCCCTGCTTTGGCATTGGTCCCAGTTAAGATATCATGGAAAAGCTCCCTCCCAGTTAAGAACTGGATCCAATAGTGGAAGGAGGATGTACATAGTTCGGAGTCAAAAAAGGAGGAAAAGGAAAGAAGGAAGATATTGAATCTAAAGAATAAAAGAATTAAAAAATGTCCCTTCTGGACATACTTACAGGAGTTAAGGGCTCTATAGCTAGCCCGTAACAGCTAGCAGAAGGACGAGAAATGGATGGAGCACCAAGCGATGAAAAATAGGATCTCAACCACAGTTGAGTGAACCAAAGAGGTCCACTGCCAGTAGGAGATACACCATTCTCAATTGAGCTTGAAGAAAAGCCATACCTCTATAAAGGGCAGCCAAAAACAAAGAACATAAATTCAAAGGCCTGCCACGCGCCAGTTCGTGCGCTATAGGTAAATAACTCAGAGAGGGCTTTATACTAGGCACGCACAACACATATTTACAAAGCCAAACTAAAAGGAAGGCCACTCGCTCAGCATGGGTAGGCTCAGCACTCGAATGATTGTGGAGTGTCTGCAGGCTTGAATAAGAATCGGTATAGTTTTTACCGAACCGTGGGGCGCCACCAGAAACTAAGATGCTTGGGAAAATGGTATCGCCCAAAGGTGGTAAATTCACCAGGGCCCCAACATCCCTTAACATAATAGACATGGGGCCAAGAGGAAAAATAAAGGTGTTATACTCAGAGGATCAAAAGCTCAAAGCAATCGGAAAGAGCGCTGAATCAAAAGTAGGGGGGCGAATAGAGACTTCCAACAAATCAGAAATCCTAGCGCTATCAAAAAGTGCCTTAGTAGGACCATAACCCACAAGACGAGCATGCCACCTATGAAAAGCTACGTCAGATTTGGGCCAAGTGCGAATACCTCTTTCACGAAGTGGCCCCAGCTGCAGAGAGTTCAGAAAAGGAGGGCCATGAGTGCAAGGAAACAGCTGACCCACCGCCGCCTGTTCAACTGCCTCCGCATTGTTGAAGAAAGGACCCAAGTAAAACTCATTACGTCCAACATCGACGGGCGGGAGAAAACTTGGGGTTACGTATGGACGACTCAGAAGTTTCTGAAAGTCATCAAAACTAAAGGAGTCGCTAGCTTGAGATTGTGAAACAGCCATTGAAGAAGGAACGAAGCTTTTCAGAGTTACGTAACAAGGAAGCAAAAGATGAACAGTGAATCGTGAAGGAGACGCAAGAAATATGAGGCGTGATTTGGTAGCAGTAAAATGGCGTGTTTGGAGTTTATAAGGGTTTGCAAAGCGACGCACCTTTTCAAGTTATAGAGGGAAACAATGATTGAAATTCTTTGAGAATTGCGAACGTTGCTAGAAACATGAAGTGAATATGACAAAATTCAATAATTATTATTAATTCTGCCATATTGGGGGGTAATTGTTGACACATAAAAATTCAGCCCAAATCGAACAGCCCAAAGAGTAAAGCCCAATTGAAGGATCCCTAAATCAGATAGCCCAAAGAACGAAATCCAATTGAACGAATCAAGGTGAAGGCCCAAATAAGGGGCCCAAGAGTGCGGTAACGCCATCGCCCAAGTTTGCAAGTCGCTTAGAATCTGAGTGAATGGAGTGACATACGATCGCCCAGAGCTGTTACTCTATTCTCGCCCAAATCTTCAAGTCGCCCAAGGTATCAACAAACATAACGCATTATGATTATCAAGAAATGAAGTTATCAAGGTAGTTGCTAAAGTAGCCTTATCATGTTCCACGACTCAAGGGATTCAATCGAAAGCGGTTGAACGATGCAAGATAATGGCAGCAGTTAAAAGGGCAGTTTCATGACAAAATGGCCACTACAAAGAAAGTAGGTAGTTATAGGGCGATCAAGCAGTTTTTAGAGCAGTTAATCACAAAGGGATCGCCTATGAAGTATAAATGGGAGAAAGGACATAGAAGCAAGGACCAAATCCAATACTCTCGAATAGAGAATATGTGATTTTCATTTCTTTAGCTTTTAGACTTAAACACTTTTTTTCTGTAACTCGTGTGCTTGCGCTCCTTGGAGGCACGTTGTTTTTCGTCTCCAATTGTAAAGTTCATCGCCAATAAAAGAACACCCCTTTTTGGGACTTTGTCTCAAGAGGTTTCGTCCCTTACACAATCGTCTGATCCTCTTTAATTGTTAGCGAATTAACCCGCGCGAAACACTAAGAATTGCACTTCTTAATTCTGATGCTTCATAATTATCGTATTTTTTATAATCCTTTTGGGATTATGCTGAGTTTACATATAACCATCTATTTTATTATTGAAATTGAGAAGATCTGTCTCAATTTGTATTTAATAATCTCATTAGGAAATCGAACATATTCTTATCGTACATGGGTAGATCAGTTCCATGGAATTGACATGGCACCAAATACTATTTATTAGCTAGTCAAAATACATGAATGGTGTTTGAAAAATCAACCATGATGTATAGCGAGAATTGCCCGGTTACGGAAGGATAGGTGGCGCGCATTCATTGGACATTGGATAAAAAACAGTTTTATCTCGACCAATGCACGAAGTCACCTCTCTCCATGACATTCTTCTAGGCAATCTTCCCTGTAAGGGATCATCAGTACAGTCCATGTAGGTAGGGAAGGATTGGATCGAAGTCTGGGCTAAAAAAATTTAAACCAGACTAATACACAAAAAAATAAAAAATAAAAAATAAAAAAAAATTTACACGTAAGAAACTAGTTTTTTTATAATATATATAAACAAAAAAAAAAAGAAATAGCCTTAAAAAACTTTTTGGGCCTAAGTTAGGGGAGAGACTACAGCCCAGCCTAGTCCCCCCATATCTGTCCCTACATGTTTGTTGGCCCATTCGAGCCTTAATTTCCAAAAGAGAAAAAAGGGAGATGTAGGAGGCACCATTCTATCATTATTTTATGGAAAACGCTATGTGTACAATCCAAGTGTACATCATGCTTGACATCCTCTTTGCATTTAAAAAAAAATTTGTTGGAGGGAGACATTTTTTTTTCTTTTTTTTGAAGAAATTACACAAAATGTCCATTTTGACATAGTCATTTGTAAAAATATCCAAAATTCTTCAATGTCCATTTTTGTAATTATTTGGATGAGAGTATCCCTAAGTAGTTTCCATGAGAAATTACATTAAAATGATGTTCTCGACATTTCAAATGTCATTCTCGATATTTGAATCCATTTATATTTCAAAAGTACACGTCAAATCATAATATTAAATATTCACGACATTTCAAACGTTGTTCTCGACATATTAAATGTCTTGAATGACAATTCATTCCAAATATGATATGTCTCTACTCTTTAAATGTTATTCTTGGCATTTTCGTGTCTAGCATTAATCGTGATTTGACATGTATAATATGAAATTATTTATTCTTTCATTAAGGTAAAATAGAGAATTTGGTATTAAATTTGGCCATTTTTGCAAAGATTATCAAAAATAAACATTTTTAAATTGACATATGTAAAATTGGATATTTTTGCAAATGTCCCTTTTTAATTTTTTATTTTTAAATTGTCAAATGACAAGTGGCAAACTGTTAAAGTGCACCACGAGCCATGATTCTTATTTGGGCTATTTTATACTATCAGACAACATTTGTCAAATGAAAAGAAACTTTGAAGATGAAAACAACCTACGTCCCATAGCAACTTTTATGATATTGCATTCACGGATGTACAAGAAAAGCATCCAAACACGCCCTTAACAAACATATTTTTTTACGAAAGCCAGTTGCATAGTGGATTACAGAAAGTCATCTGAGACATAAAACCACCGCGCCGAAACTAACGCAATCCATGGCGTTTACCGCACTCAACACTGTCTACTCGATAAGATTATCGTATAAAACAAAAATTATTAACCCACCTCGGAATCCACAGTTTGCTTCAACGCCAATTACTCTTTCTTTCAACAGTAAGCTCATTCATTCAATCAGTTCAATTTTTTTATCAAAGATTTTCATGTATACATGTATTTGATGTTCATGTATTTTGAATGTGGGGTTATAGGACGGACGCTTATAGTGAGAGCTACGGAGAGTGATACCAACGAAGGTATGCTGAACTTTTCTGCTGTCTTTTTAAACTGTTGTTTAGTATATTTGTGGGTTCGTGTTTTTTTTGGAGATTGATTCGAACAGTGTATTTCTCGACTAAAACAGAGTAGTAGATTGCTGTATTTATCTGAAATAATGAGGGAGAAAAAAGAAAAAAAGGAATGAGTTATGCTAAAATGTGTGTTTGAATGGATCTTTGTAATATACCAGATGAAGCAACGGCTGGGAGTGGTTCAAGCATTATTCAGATACTTGGTATTAAAGGAGCCAAGCAAGAAACAGTGAGAATTGAATCTTTACATTTAATAGTTTAATGCACTTTAATTGTAGTCTTTAGTACTGAATCTGGATTCGCTTATTCTTGCAATAATCACACGACGCATCGAATATGAAAACTTCGACTCTATTCTCACTTCAGTATCAATTTTAAAGTAATTACATGTCAATGCTGGTTTAAGACAATTATTTAATATTTGTCTTAAAGTAAATAGATGTATTAAGTTAAAAGATCTGGTTGATATATATTCAGTTTCTTGATTACCAGAACTATTTAAGGGAGCAACATGATGATGTTTTATATGGTAACAGGTTACACTTTTAGGTGGATGTTTGTATAATTAAAATAAGACAATTTGAGTTCTTTATTTCTTGTATAGCTTTTGATCCTCTTTGTGTTGCTTCTATGGAATAGTTGTCTGCAGTTGGCTACCTAAAAAAAATAAACACACTAGCATTTTTCTGGTGTACTGTTATTTGGGGAAGTTAATTTTAAAATTTTGGTAGGACTCACAAGGAAAAAATATATGAAAGACTCATTTCTTGTATCTCCAAATTGATGGTGGTGGTGGTGTTGGAGGGTCAATCGGGTGAAGACTGAAGAGCTAGGATAAAGATATCAATATTATTATTATTATTGTTATTATTATTAAAGTGGACTCTAATTTGCTGGAGATATATGGGGTAGCTGCAGTTTACATGACTGCTTACATTTGATATGGCATAAGATTGTTACCAAATATATAAATGGATGTCCTGAAATAATAGCCCATCATGGGATCAGGAATGCTTTGTTCCATAACTGCTATCCGTGAACTACTTTACCTTTGTAAATGTAACTCAGATGCAGCAGCCTTGAATGGTTCAGACTCAAGTTTACAGTTGTCCTAAAAAGTGTTACTGCTGGAATTTCCTGATTTTGGTCTGCATTATCAGTTGGTTTCTTATCATGAATATTTATGTAGATACTGCATTACTTATAGAGGTTCTTTTAATTGCAGATAATTAAAGATCATCATTGTAGAAAGTGTCATGATCAAAATTTTGTATCTCCTTTATGGTTGAATGCTTATCTGCATTTAAATGACGATTTAATGAATTCAAAAATTATGTACAGAGAAAAAAAAACGATATCCCACATTATATCAATATGTCATAGTTTGAACTCTTACCACCACATGTTTCTACAGGATAAGTGGAAAATTCGTATTCAACTTATGAAGCCTGTTACATGGCCTCCTCTTGTTTGGGGCGTGGTGTGCGGAGCTGCTGCATCTGGTATTTTATGGATATGTTCTTCCATATTGTTATACTCCACCAATATATAGTGTCTGACAATCACTAGTCTGATAACACTTGTGATTTCTTTGGTGGTAATTTAGATGTTTGTCCGTCCCCCGAGTAACAGCTCTGCTTTATCCCTATAATTGAACAAGCTTTTGCTGTTTTTTATTGATACATATGCTTAACGACATCATTATATGGACTTGACATCCGTGGAATGGTTTGTCTTACTGCAACTTTGTCTTAGGGAATTTCCATTGGAGCTTGGAAGATATAGCTAAATCAGTAGTATGTATGATTATGTCTGGCCCCTGTCTTACTGGTTACACTCAGGTACTTATA